TCTCTCTCTCTCTCTCTCTCTCTGTCTCTCTTTCTTTCTTCCTCTCATCTTTATACATAATTCATGTATTATACATCATCGCTAACGGTACACGTACTTTCACATCGCGTGCTAACATTGGGCAGGTCTTCACATCGATTTACATTCTTAATTAATCTTCAAATTCATAAGAGAACCGACAACGACTTTGTGGATAAACATAAACGCGGTTTTGTGTGAGTGTGCGTGTGTGCGCACATATAATATAGGGTGAGATAAAAGTATCTTTTCTAAAAATAATTTTAAACGTTTATTCGTGCATTTTTATAGATTTATTTCTTTGAATTTGTTCACACAAATTGATATCTATTTTACAAAAGAAAACCGAAGATTGGTGTCCACCAAGCTTTGAAGTGAGTGTTCTCTATAAACTGTTGTAGCTCATCCAAATCTTGAGGTACCTGTGCAAGAACTTGATATAAAAACGACTTTTATCTCACCCTATAAAAAATGTAGTCGATGTCTCTGTAAAAGTACATTGTCATAGTAGATTGAGTATATTGTCTAGCTCTCATCGCTGTCCTGTAAACGTCACGTTAACACGCCTTTAACACGCTCTGTCATGAAATACAACTGCCAGGAAAGAAAAGCTTTATTACGAAATTTCGTCGCACGTGTCGAGAATGCTAAAAAAAATATCAAAAATTGTCATACGAATATCAGATAAATATGTGTAGGCAAGCAAAAATAATGTATTATATATCTAAAAAAACCAAAAGAAGGAAAAAAATAAAAGATCCATAAATATATTCTTTATTTAGGTGAAAGTGATGAATTTTCTGAGAAAGACATTCATTTATCATTTTTGACGTTACTAATCGATATAAGAGAACAACGTTTATACGTAAAATGTGTGTATATATGTGTACTATAAATTTATAAAACCGAATGAGAAAGACATTATCTTTCAGATTTCATTCCTTTCTTTCTTCTTTTCAAAAATATCTAGCTAATTCCATTACAATGCGATATCAGAGAAAAGATCGATCATTTCCTCGGCGCGTTCCAACGTAAGCAGATAAAGAAGGAATAAGGGTAAATAATTTACGAGAAAATGGTCTGCTTTGTCGGAGGCAAAAGTGAGTAATGGCGGAAGTACTCACCGGAGATGGGATCCGCGCCATCGAACTTCCTCTCTATGGTTACGCTCTCGTGAACGGCATCCTTGCTCGTTCTTATACGACATCCAGAGTTCGATTCTCCTACGGCACCAGCAGAAGCAGTAGTACCACCACCAACGACGATTCCTTCCTGATTCTTGTGATCGTTTCTTTCAACCGACTTGGACACACCACCGAGGCCGACAGTTGCCGATGTTTTGCAATTGATACTACCAATAGAGTTGCCATTGATGTTGGCATTCACATTGATATTACCGTTTCCGTTGTTAGACGTGTTCTCGTCGACCTATAACATATCCAATGTATACACACTAACACTCATCTACAAATATATATCTATCAATCATCAACAATAACACCTGGCTAAAAAGAGAGAAAGAAAATATCTCCCTCTTTGCATTTAATTTTTTTTATTTACTTTTTTATTTATTTATTAATCTAATTTTTATCGAAGTATTTCAATGACTTACCGTAGTTGTCATGCAAGTGGACGAGGAACGCACAACAACAATACGGTTCTGATTGTGGTCATTAGAGGCATTCGATGATACTGATACGTGATTGGCAAGAGTATGACCATCATGCCCGTTATTATTCGCTGATAAATTGACGTTGCTAGCTCCTGTGACACCACCACCACCACCACTATTACTCAAAGAAGTCTGCCTGATCACCAGAACGCTGCCTGCCGGCTCTAGGACCACGACTTGCCTCATCTTTGGACTTTTAACTATTATCTTAGTTTTCTGAATTGGTTGTTTTCTTTTTATTTGAAGCTCTTCTCCACCTTTTCTTCCACACCTCCTCCTTTTTTTCTAACCACTTTTCTTCCTTTTTGTCGTAGGTTGGTTCAGATATTTCCAGACGGAAAAGCTCCTTCAGTAGACCCAGCTCTGTTTCTTAAAGAATCCTCTCTCCAATCTTTGCCACCTGCTCCTCCTGCAAATACATAAGATACACATTGAAATGATCCAATATCAAAGCTGTCGACTTAAAAGTTCATTCTATATTCCTATCTTCATCCAATCGTCCGAAAGCCCTTCACATTTTTTTTCTATCTATCTATCTATGTATCTTTCTTTCATTCCACCTAACTCTTACTTCTTACCTTCACACTCCTTCCACCTTCGCGTGGCTTCCTATGAAAGACAAATCGATAAGATTATTGTATCGATCGGCTGGCCGAAACGTTTAAGAGAATTCTTCGCCGCTTCATTTCGTATACAATTTAATCTTTTTATTTTTATCATTAATTATAACTACGATGTCTGATAACATTTACATATTTTTTTTCTTTCCTAATGTCCTTTTACTAATTAGAATCGTTTCTCTTTTCCTTTCTTTTTTCTCCCTTTCTCTCTCTATTAAGTAATACAATTTGAATTTATTAATGGATTGCGTGCGTTGTTGAAAATGTAGGTATTATTAAATTTGCATTTTCCCAGCAATTACTCAACAACGTTGACGCGTTTCCACATGGGAAAAGAAAACTACGTTCGTCTTCTAGGATGCTCAAAGGAATTAAGATTTATCGTTCGAAGACGAACTTCTAATTGACTTTATCGTAGAACTTTATTTTCAATCCGTTACATTGGAATTTAATAAATTACTCTTTTGCGATAATGTATCTTACAAATGTATATTTGATTTCTCTTGATAATCTCGAATATTAAGGTTTGCTTAGAAGTAAATTAACATCATATTTGAAATTATGTTGTTAACCTTTTCGCGTGAATATCGTTCCATATAAATTCACTTTTACACGCGTATCGTCGAATAGCACGATCCCTATATGGGATTCATATATTTCATTTATACATACAAACCCTTGCACGGACGACCACTCGTATATGAGTCGCTAGATTAGAGATTTTGTCAAAATTCTACTTGTAAATAAAACCTGTAAACAATAAAAATGTATTTTCATCGACTGACTTATGAGATAGAAATCTTTTTTCTAAAAATATTCATTTGTATGACGATAAAAATTCGGCGATAAATTTGTGAGTGCACATTTTTTCAATTAATGAATATTTGAGGCAAAAAGAAAAATTCATAAAGAGGGGTAAACTGGTAGAAAGTAATAAATAATTGAAACGACAATGGTAGATATCTCTGGGAACGACATACGTACTTAAAGATATACCTTAGATACGTGATAACAATTGTATGGCACGTCGTAGAGAAGATTCGAATAGAGGAAAAGTTAATAAAAATTCATGCCGTAGGAGTAGGAGATCGTGAAAATTACGAAATTCTCGGTGACCAACGGGCCGTTACGAGTGGCGGTTACGTAAAAGCGATATTCGCTCGGCGTTCCATCGCGTTTATTATCAAAAATAAATCTCGTCTCTCTCTCTCTCGCGTTGGGAAACTATTACGACGTTGAACAACGGTGTTGCTCCAAGAAAATCTCGGGGTACCATTTTTACCTTACATTTTATTCTCTTTTCCTTCCTTTTATTTTCCGCTTTGTTCTTCTTTGTTCTTAACAAAAAAAGTAGCATAACTGAGACTGATTATAAACCCGTATATCCCAGAAATCTTATTGCTCGTATACTAATTGAAACAAAATATCATTTTGAATAAATTAACAATAACAAAAAATATGTATCGTCGCAACCCGTATAAAGGTCGTGTGTAAAAAACGGATGGGTTAAAATTATATTAATGATATATTCATTTCATTCCTAATATTTCTTATAAAATGTTAACTCATTACTGACCGTTTACATATGCAAGCAACATTTATTATACAACTCACTATTATTAACATTAATTATTTTACTTAATAGTATTTACTTAAATTTAGATATTATCAAATTTCATGCAATTATTAAGAAATTCATAAAATTTTGTGCATATAACTGGTCAACGACGTATCAAATATCACGAATTTAATCGTGAATAAATTATACTAGCATCTTGCGTAGCGCAACCCGAGAATAGCGAATTGAGTACGGTTATGTGAAAATCTTCATTGTTAAATTTATAAACGTCGCAAGAGAGCTGGAGGATAAAGGAGCTTATAGGTTTTGTTTTGGCTCGTTGCGAAGGCAGGTGGCCAACGTACTACGTGGCCCAATCTCTCGCAGTTTCTTCGAGAGACGGGAAATAAGATCTTCAGCTAGGAACAACGCTGCTAAAAACTCGAATCCATCTCATCTTCTTTCTCTCTCTCTCTCTCTCTCTTTCTTATTCACTGTCTACTTTATTTCTTTCTACCTTTTTATATTCGTCTCGAGCCTGTAACAGGTCCAACGAAGGCTTGCCAATTTTTAGCCAACGACTGGACGGGCACGAAAGGGAATTCCACGTAGGAAGAAAAAAAAGAAAAGAAGAGTGAGAGAGAGAAAGAGATAAAAAAAAAAGAAATATGAAAGAAGGAGATTCATCGATCGGTTATCAAATGGACTTATCAGCCAAGGAGGTCGACTTTCAAGGCCATCCGATCGTAGAATAGAATTAGCTTCTCGAAAATGGGCTTCTCTTCTCTACTTCAACGACGACATAGATTCTCATCTCGGGGCAGCTAATCCCGTTAAAAAGGATGCACTTACCGAGCTTGGATAAGCATGAACTCCGATGCCGCTTAGAAACAGAAGATACCGCACGAACTTACTTCCTACTCTTCTAATCCCCGTTTAAAGCTCTAAGTCTTCTACCCTTCCCTTTTTATCAGTTAGAATACACGCGAGTTACTCGCGCAAATCGTAACTATAATACGTTCTATTTCCATTTCAGTAATTACGTTAAAAGTTTCATCCAAATTATATTTTAATATATATTTTTTTAATTAACTATTTGATATCATTCAAATAAAATATCAATTTCTAAACATCTTAACACGTCTGTCTATTCAATTCTAAACATTTTACTACGATGATAATTTAAATACCCCGACTTCTATCAATGTTTCTAATAATCTTCCTCATCACAACCATTCCATTTCCGTCATTTAAATACCAGTTTACCAGTTTATCCAGTGACGAAAGCAAATATATACAGGGTGTGTACAAATCGTGGGTATGGAACTTTCCTATCCAATTTAAAGCAGCCAATTTTATATTCAAACTGTATCATTCAAAAATGTGATATTTTTAGGATATCTAGGTGTTTCAATTTTAGGAACTCAGCCTATATAATAGGAATCGAAGGTATAACTATAATTACATACACCCTGTATATATAATCGAGAACAGGATGTCTGGAAATTACACTCGACTGCACGAAATTACCCTCGTAAGAAGATTGTCGTCGTCGTTCGCGTTTCAAATGATGTCGTTCAATACTAACCATCATCGAGTGAAACTGTTAAACAATTTAATAGAGAGTCCAGATAATGATTATACTAATCGAGAATCAACTTACTCCTCGTCTTTTTCTTTTACTCTTCTCAAGATGTTAATTCTAATAAAGAAATGAAAACCCCAGAAGGAAAATAAACATAAAATTTAGCAATAGTTGAAACTTATTTTCAAGTAAAATTCTTCAGTCCTACCCACCCTTTCCAAGGGTGTGTTTCTAACGTAGCGATTTACCTTCGGGTAAATCGTCGACACGTCTGTTCCTCTTGGAAAGAAACTGACCCACTTTCCATCTCTCATTATCTTTTTTTTCTTTTTTTCTGTCTATACGGAAAGACGAGCGACTATTCCTGAGGAACGCGATTTGAGGAATAATGAATTTTAAAAAGGGGGCCCTTCTCTCCTTCCAAGCGCCCTTTAAAACGATTTAAAATCATGGACACACACATGCCCTTCACTTTCTTTTCTTTTTTCCTATCACGCGTTTTCTCCTCATCTATCCATCCCTCCATCAATCCATATATTATCCATCCATATATCTATCTATCCATCCATCTATCTTTCTTTTTTTTTCTACTTTCCACTCTTTAGACGCGAATGAATCGCAAGCTCTAGGCTGTGTGGCATTCTTCCAAGTGGGAAGTGTATTGTTAAACGTCTTTTATATTATAAACGAATGCTTCCTATGCGTGTTGAACGACGCACGCGTATTTTATTGCACACACACACACATCCATAGGATGATATACATATATATACTTATACGCACGTACTTTTCACTCATATACTAAGACGTGAATACTCACACTTAAATAATTTATGTTAAATCTATGTTTATACGTATGCATAGCACATATGTGTATATGTGTGTGTGTATACATGTGTATGTACCGTATATACACGACGCATCTCTTTTAAAGCTTTCACGGTAGAGCGGAGCTTTACCTACTTCCCTTTGTTAACTTTTTCATTCTTCTGAGCGATATAAACTTCCCCCGTTCGTCCAGGAGCATGGAGCAGTCACATTCCGTGCACCTTATAACGCCTAGGTATAGTTACTACGTAATATATCTACATATACATGTATATATGTAGATGACATGTATATACTATAGATATAAGTAGGAACGCGCACGCTTGCGGAACTTACTCGACCGTGTTAATTATTCATTGATCAATCTATGCTAAGATGTATTTTTAATAGCCCACGTTTTTTTATCGACAGATTAACATTTTTTGTTCTCTTACCGTATTCTTTCTCTTGCTTTCTCTTCGTTATTTTCCTTCTTCTTACTCTCATTTATTTTCTAAAACAATTCGAAAAAACCCTTTGTTTTAATTCTTTTACTTTAACTTTAACTTCTAGAAGCGAACGAGTATTTTGTAGTAAATATAGTTTTTAGCTTAATAAAAGGATGTTATTATTGTATTTTCCACGTTTATCATGAAAATGTTTTCGCTCGTTAATTGATGAAAGAGAGAGATCATTTTTTTAAAAATTCGCTTATCTTCGCGATTATCTGACTCGGTGAAAAGTTTCAAAGGTTGTTCCGCGTTCGTTCGTTCTTCTTTTTCTTCATCTTTTTATCTTTCCTTCTTCTTTTTTCTTTTTTTTTATAATAATAGAGTCAA